CCGGCAGGTTTCTCCCTCGCTGCCGCCGGCATCCCTCACCCTGCCGCCAGCCCCCTGGAAATCGGTGATGAGAAACTCCTCAATCCTGTCTCAATTTCTGCCGGTCAAGGGATAACAATACCTGGTCATTCAAGGTGAACATCTGAGAATTTGCCCTTCCCCTGCCCTACGTTTCCTCTCAGAGACACGAACCAAAGGGCCCTGCCTGGGATCGAATACCGCAGTCCGCCAGTTCACTGGGTTTCTCTTCCTCGACTGTAACACCACGAGTCTCCTGGCAGCGAGGTTAGGCAAACAGCCGCTGATAAAACGACTTCCAGGTTGCTCTTTCCAAGGCCAGAGCGCGCAGGCCATTGAACACGGGGCCCAGATGAGCACCCTGTGCGTGTGTGTGAACCTCCTGGCAGCGTCACCAGCCATCCAGCGCTGCCCGATGACAGCGCGGGGCCTTGGTGCCATGGTACAGGCTGGGTTAATGACTTTGTTTATACTGTTTGGGTAAGCGCGATAAGGCTGCCCAACCCGCTGGCCCCTGTCCCCGCGCCGCCAGCGCTTCATTGAGAAAACGGCCGTTGACACCACGCGGAGAACTCGTTTGCCCCAGCCAATCCGCCCAGGGACAGCTGGTGGTTTTTTTTCTTTTTTTTAATGAGGACTGCTTAATCACAGAGCGGTCAAGGCTGTGGAGGGGTGTTTCACCAGTGACCCAGCCTTATAAGAGCTGGTTTGAGCAGCCGTGGGCAGGCAGAGCTGGGAGGACGGGGAGAATCCAGCCTGCAACAGAGGGTTTGGGAGGAATTTTACGTCTCTCGTCTGCTGTAGCAGGAGCTGAGTTTCACCGAGGATCCAGTCGCCCGGCTCAGCTATGACCACCAGCGGCACGGACGTGGACTGTGAGGGGTGCCAGTGCCACAGCGAAGACAAGCGCACCGCCATCCTCTACACCCTCCTCAGCCAGAACCTCAACCACAGCCGGAGCAGCCGCAGCCCAGCCCACCAGCGCTGCCTCTGCCACCAGCGCCGGACTGTCTGCCTCCGCACACCCCATGTCACCTGCCAGGCAGCCTCCAATGTGCTGGTAAAAACCATCAGCTTCATGAAAAACCTCCCTTCCTTCCACCTGCTGCCGCGAGAGGATCAACTCCTGCTGCTCGACAGCTGCTGGGTTCCCCTCTTCCTCCTGGGGCTGGTCCAGGAGATGGTGACCTTCGAGGTGATGGAGACCCCGGCCCCCAGCATGCTCAAGAAGATCCTTCTCGATGGCCAAAGCAAACGTCAAGAGCCCGAGCCGATGCAGCCCACGCTGGCTGCTGTGCAGCGCCTGCAGTGCTGCCTGAACACCTTTTGGAGCCTGGACCTGAGCCCCAAGGAATACGCCTATCTGAAGGGAGCCATCCTCTTCAATCCCGGTGAGTGCCCAGTGCTCGCAGCTCTGCCTGCCGGTGGCAGAGCACGTCCCACGCACGTTGGCATCTGAACGGGCAGCGCTTGGCTTGTTCAGAGCGCAGGCAGGCGGGAGAGCGGGGAGGGCTGGTTACCTTATCCTTAACACCCATCGTTACAAAATGCACAGGGAAGCGGGGAGGAGGGATGGCAAATGTAGTGGTAAAAGCCAGAGACCTTTGCCTGCCCTGCAGACAATAAAGATTTGATTTGTAAAGCATGAGTTTGCCCAGTTAACTACTTTTGCTCCCTCAAAACGGCAGCCCTGAAATCGTTACGTTCTCGGTAGTGCTGTGTACATCTCATCAGCGTCACCTCAGAGATCCTTTCGGAGAAATGGGGAAGAGGAAGGGTGGGAATGGGAGAAACCTGGGGATCTTTTCCAGCCTCCCTCATCACCGGCTTTTCCTCCTCTCCCTCGGCAGATGTCCCCGGGCTGAGGGCCTCCCTGTACATCGAGAGCCTCCAGCGGGAAGCCCAGAGAGCACTTCAGGAGGTCCTGCAGCCCCTGCACCCCGAGGACCAGGGCCGCTTTGCCCGCATTTTGTTGATTGCCTCCACCTTAAAATCGATCCCTCCTGCCCTCATCACGGATCTCTTCTTCCGACCCGTCATCGGCAACGCGGACATCGTCGAGCTCATCGCGGAAATGCTGTACGAAATAACTGTCGGGCAGCTGGCTCCCGTGGCACGTGTGGCGTGCTGAGCAGCCACGCTCGGCCGCCGGCCCCGTGGATGCTCCCCACACCTTGCCAGCCAGCAAAGCAAATCTAGGAAGCGAGGATTTAGCCAGACAGACGCTCTGGACTCTGCGGGGATCTGCGCATTTCGGTAGGGCTGAGGCCAGGGGATTCAGCCAGGCTGCAGCAGAGCACACGGAGAAACAGCTCCACTTCAGCAGAAGTTTACTCCTGCTCCTGCTCCGCCTGTGCCGGTCTCCATTTCGGGTAGCGCATGTGCGGGTGTGATGGGTTTCTTTCCCTGTTGTGTAGCTGGAGCTGCTCAGCTGCTTGCAAACAGACCACAAAGCAGGTCGGGTTAGAGCCCGGTCCCGGTTTTCACTCAATGAATCCTTGGTCCCGTTGAAATCAATGTGCATTTTGCTGTTAACTCCAAGAGATGAGGTTTGTCCTCAGCTAACAGCTTGATTCTGCAGTGTTTAGGCACGCTGAATAACATGGCTTCGGCAGGATGGCTTACTGAGCGCAAATATTATGGAATTAGGTCTGGGTGAAGTCTTAGTCTGTGTATTGTGCTTGAAATCTTAGAAATATCGATGAAGGGTCTTCCTCAGGCACCAAGAGGGAAAAAGCCAGACTATTAAATCTTACAGGGCGTGCAGATTCACCCCTCTTACCTTACCTTAGATTGTATCTTTTGTCCATAATGCCATGAAACACAATGGAACTGCTTGCAGAGCAATGGGTTACCTAAAAGCACCTAAACCTATTGCACATCATCTCGGGCTGTGGGCTTATCTCGTTTATGTGACCCCCGCGAGCTGTGAACACTGCGGAGGCGAGCGGAGCGGGTTTAGGGGTAGAACCAAACGTCCCTCCCCAGAGTTACGGTCGGGTGCACGTGTAGCACACCTGGAAAGCTTGCTCCTCCTGCCTGCAGCTTCTGCAGCAAGTTAAATGTCAGTATTTTATAAGTGAACATTCTTGCGGTTTGTATATAAGATGCAGTAAATTATTTTTTTAATTAAATGTTTTACATTTTGGAACATGGTGGTGACTTTTTAGAGACAGCCTTAAATTTCTGGGGGGAGTTAGAAAAACCAGCTGCGGGCCTGGCGTGGAAAGAACGCTCAAATGAAAAGGGTCTTTCCATAAAAATCCCTCTGCCTCGCCACGTCTGGGGACGCGCGTCGATCACTGCCAGCGGGAGCTGGCTGATGAACAGCCCTGTGGCACAAAAACCCTCAGCGCACCCAGCAGACAGAAATTTGCAGAGGCAGCGGAATCGCAGCCCGTCCACACGTTGCACCTTTCTCCAGGCGTCGAGCCTCGCCCCGAGGGCTCCCGGCCCGGCGCCCATGTCGGAGGTGGGTGCTCTGACTCACCTGGCTGCGCGCACAGCTGCCAACAGGCACAAACACCAGCCCGCTTGCCTTGCCCGACCCAGCCGAGGTGTTGGGTAAAACCGCACGAAGCCTCCCTGTGCTCCGTCACCCTCCTAACCCATGGAAACACCTCGAATTTTAGCCAGCAGCCCGGTGGGAGGAAGGACTGCTTTGTCAGTCTGTCCCTCCACCTCTCCCCGCT